TAGTCGGATCGGATTCGATGAAAAGGGTCCTTATGAAGGGTAAATAGAAGTTGGCATATCACGTTGTGGTTTTCGCGTAGGTAAGAAACGTTCTTGCTAGAAACCTATAGCAGCCACGTAAAAAAACTTGCAACAACAATTAGAGGATGTCTAACTTGTTTTTGCAGCATATGCCGTGTGATGTGATATGGCCAAAAGGATGTGATGAATGATATATGTGATGTATGAGATTGATCATGTTCTTGTAATAGGAATCACGACTTGCATGTCGATGAGTATGACAACCGGCAGGAGCCATAGGAGTTGTCTTAATTTATTTATGACCTGCGTGTCAACATAAACGTCATGTAATTACTTTACTTTATTGCTAAAGCGTTAGCCATAGTAGTAGAAGTAATAGATGACGAGACAACTTCAAGAAGACACGATGATGGAGATCATGGTGTCATGCCGGTGACAACGATGATCATGGAGCCCCGAAGATGGAGATCAAAAGGAGCAAAATGATATTAGCCATATCATGTCACTATTTGATTGCATGTGATGTTTATCATGTTTTACATCTTATTTGCTTAGAACGACGGCAGCTTAAATAAGATGATCCCTCACTAAAATTTCAAGAAAAGTGTTCCCCCTAACTGTGCACCGTTGCGAAGGTTCGTCGTTTCGAAGCACCACGTGATGATCGGGTGTGATAGATTCTAACGTTCGAATACAACGGGTGTAAGCCAGATTTACACACGCAATACACTTAGGTTGACTTGACGAGCCTAGCATGTACAGACATGGCCTCAGAACACGGAAGACCGAAAGGTCGAGCATGAGTCATATAGAAGATACGATCAACATGAAGATGTTCACCGATGTTGACTAGTCCGTCTCACGTGATGATCGGACACGGCCTAGTTGACTCGGATCATGTTTCACTTAGATGACTAGAGGGATGTCTATCTGAGTGGGAGTTCATTAAATAATTTGATTAGATGAACTCAAGTATCATGAACATAGTCTAAATTGTCTTTGCAAATATGTTGTAGATAAATAGCTCACGTTGTAGCTCCTTGTTTCAATACATTCCTAGAGAAAGATTAAGTTGAAATATATTGTAAGCAATGATGCGGATTAGGTCCGTAGTCCGAGGAGTGTCCTCACTGCTACATAGAAGGCTTACGTCTTTGATGCACCGCTCGATGTGCAAACCCCTACAATGTCGTTTGTGGATGTTGTGAACACCTGACAGACACGTCCTGATGACTACTTGATAGTTTAGTGCACCATATTTTACGGCTTAGAATTGGGATTCCAAGGACGTTTTAAACGCCATAGAACATATGAGATGTTCCAAGAGCTGAAATTGGGATTTCAGGCTCATGCCCGTGTTGAGAGGTGTGAGACGTCTGACAAGTTCTTTAGCCAACAAGATGGAGGAGAATAGCTCAACTAGTGAGCATGTGCTCAGAATGTCTGGATGCTACAATCACTTAAATCAAGTGGGAGTTAAACTTCCAGATAAGATAGTGATTGATAAGTTCTCCAGCCACTATCACTAAGCTACTAGATCTTCGTGATGAACTATGACATGCAAGGGATGGAGTTGATCCCGGATCTATTCGCGGTGCTTAAGACCGCAAAAGGTAGAAATCAAGAAGGAGCATCAAGTGTTGATGGTTTAACAAGACCACTGGTTTCAAGAAGGGCAAGGGCTAGAAGGGAAACTTCATGGATGGCAAACCAGTTGCCGCTCCAGTGAAGGAACCCAAGGTTGAACCCAAACCCGAGACTAAGTGCTTCTATTGTAAGGGGAACGGTCACTGGTAGCGGAATTACCCCAAATGCATGGTAGATAAGAAGGCTGGCAACTTCAACAAAGTATATACGTGTTATTAATGTGTACCTCACTAGTACTCCTGGTAGCACCTGGGTATTGGATACCGGTTCAGTTGCTATTATTGGTGACTTGAAGCAAAAGCTACGGACTAAACGGAGACTGGCTAAGGGCGAGGTGACGATGTGTGCTGGAAGTGTTTCCAAAGTTGATGAGATCACCATCGCACGCTCCATCTGCCTTCAGGATTAGTGTTGAACCTAGATAAATGTTATCAGGTGTCTACGTTGAGCATGAATATGATTAGATCATGTTCATTGCAATACGGTTATTCATTTAAATTAGAGAATAATGGTTATTCTGTTTACATGAATGATACCTTTCATGGTCATGCACCCTATGTGAATGGTTCATTGAATCGCGGTCGTGGTAATACACATGTTCATGCCAAAAGATGTAGACTTAATAATGATAGTACCACTTTCTCGTGGCACTACCGCTTAGGTCATATTGGCGTAAGATGCATGAAGAAACTCCATGTCGATGGATGTCTAAAGTCACTTGATTTTGAATCACTTGACACATGCGAGCCATGCCTCATGGGCAGGATGACTAAGACCCCGTTTTCAGGTACAATGAAACGGGCAAGTGACTTGTTGGAAATCATGCATGCTGATGCGTGTGATCCAATGAGAATTAAAGCGTGCGGTGGATATCGTTATTTTCTCATCTTCACTGACGATTTGGGTAGATATAGGTATATCTACTTAATGAAGCACAAGTCTGAAACGTTTGAAAAGTTCAAGCGATTTCAGAGTGAAGTTAAGAACCATCATAACAAGAAGATCAAATTCCTACGATCTGATCAATGAGAATATCTGAGTTATGAGTTTGGCAAACACTTAAGACATTGTGGAATTGTTTCACAGTTGAAGCCACCTGGAACACCACTGGGTTATGGTGTGTCCGGATGTCGTAATCGAACCTTATGAGATACGGTGCGATCTATGATGTCTCTTACCAATCTACCATTTTCATTTTGAGGTTATGCGTTAGAGACAACTGCATTCACTTTAGATAGGACACCATCTAAGTCCGTTGAGATGACGTCATAAGAACATTGGTTTGGCAAGAAACCAAAGTTGTCGTTTCTTAACGTTTGGGGATGCGATGCTTGGGGCTTCAGCCGGAGAAGCTCGAACCCAAAGCGGACAAACACATCTTCATAGGATACCCAAGGGTGACAGTTGGGTATACCTTCTATCTTAGATCCGAGAGCAAATTTTTTGTCGCTAAGAACGGGTCCTTTCTCGAGAAGGAGTTTCTCTCGAAAGAATTGAGTGGGAGGAAGATAGAACTTGATGAGGTTGTCGAACCTTTACTTCAACCAGAGAGTGATGCAACACAGAAAGATGTTTTCTGTGGCGCCTACGTCTGTTGAATAGGAAGTTAATGATAGTGATCATGAAGCTTCGGATCAAGTTGCTATCGAACCTCGTAGGTCGACAAGGATATGTACTACTCCTAAGTGGTACGGTAATCCTGTCTTAGATATCATGTTGTTAGACAACAATGAACCTACGAGCTATGGAGAAGCGATGGTGGGCCCATATTCCGACAAATGGTTAGAAGCCATGAAATCCGAGATAGGATCCATATATCAGAACAAAGTATGGACTTTGGTGGACTTGCCCGTTGATCGGCAAGCCATTGAGATAAATGGATATTTAAGAAGAGGACGGACGTGGGCAGTAATGTTACCATCTATGAAGCTCGACTTGTGGGAAAGAAACTTTTCACAAGTTCAAGGAGTTGACTACGATGAGAATTTCTCACCCGTAGCGATGCTTAAGTCTGTCGGAATCATGTTAGCATTAGCTGTATTTTTCGATTATGAAATCTTACAGATGGATGTCAAAACAAGTTTTCTTACCAGTTTTCGTAAGAAAAGTTGTATGTGATACAATAAAAGGTTTTGACGATCCTAAGAATGCTAAAAGGTATGCTAGCTCCAGCAATCCTTCTATGGGCTAGAGCAGGCATCTCGGAATCGGAATATATGTTTTGATGGAGTGGTCAAAGCTTTTAGGTTTATACAATGTTTGCTAGAAACTTGTATTTACAAGAAAGTGAGTGGGAGCACTACAACATTTCTGATAAGTATATGTGGATGACATATTGTAGATCCGAAATAATGTAGAATTTCTGGAAAGCATAAACGGTTGTTTGAAGAGTGTTTTTCAAAGGAAGACCTGGATAAAGCTGCTTACAAATTGGGCATCAAGATCTATAGAGATAGATCAAGACGCCTGATGATACTTTCAAAGAACGCACACCTTGACATGTTTTTGAAGGAGTTCAAAATAGATCAGTCAAAGAAGGGGTTCTTGCCTGAGTTCTTGCCCCCCTCTACAGATTACACAGACCTTCTTATGCAGTTACTTGACATCATATAACCAAGCACATAATTTTGGCATTGAGGACATTCTGAAGGGGAAGATGCCGGTGGTGGATCTCCCTATTAGTCCTACCCGTGTGGGAAAGGTTAGTTTACCTTGGCCGAAACCCCCTACAGGATGGGTGGCCCTTTCAACTGATGGCTCCTACTTTGAGGACACAGGACGGGCCGGAACGGGTATGGTTCTGCGGGACTCGATCGGCAATGTAATTTTCTCCGCTTACATATTCCTATTCTATTGCAAGAATGCTCTTGAAGCCGAGGTGAGTGCAATGCTGGAAGGTATCTCTTTTAGCCTTCAAAGATCAGAGCTACCAATCATCATTCAATCTGACTGCTCTGTTCTGGTGGCGGCTTTAACGGATGACTCATTGAACAAATCTGCTCATGGACATCTAATCTTGGAAATGAAGAGGCTCCTGGAACAGCGTGAGTTTATTCCACAGAAATTAGATCGGCATCAAAATAGTGTTGCTCACTGTCTTGCTAATATTGGTCGTTCTGGAGGTTGCACCGCCTGTTGGTTGCATCGTGTTCCAGACAGCGTGTCTAGTTTTGTATTAGCAGACTGTAACACTATTTTAGTGGAATAAACTAATTATTCACCCGGAAAAAAAAAAGTAAGCAGAGGGGATAGAGGGATGCGCAAGGATGGGCAGTGATGCGTTCCCGCATAGAAAAAAAGGAGAGAGATGGACTAGTGGTGCTGGTTGGACGATGAGCTGGACGTCGTCGACGGGGAACAGATCGGACGGCATCACGGTACTATCCAGGACGCTGACACGTATCACGCTCCGCCACCTGCCCACAAAACCCCAACCCCCCCGCCGAGCGGGTCAGAGGAGGCTGCAGGCGCCGAGCCAAAAAGCCACTGCCGAGAGAGAGAGAGATAGAGTAGAGGGGGCGAGAGACGTCCCACGCCACGCCGCTCCCGTCCAAACCCCACTCCCGCCCCGCGCCGCGCGATCCGAAGCCCCATTATCTAATTCCTCGCCGGATCGGGCCGGCAGATCTCGCCATTGCCCATTTGCCCCGCTCCGCCCTCGTCCTCTGCTCCTCCCGCTGCCAGTGCCGGCGGCGGTTGTGCGGTACTGTTCGGTTCGTCGCCGGGGAGGCTCGCCAGGGGCCGGAGGGATGTGGCGGCTGAAGATCGCGGAGGGCGGGGCCGACCCGTGGCTGCGCACCAAGAACGCGCACGTCGGCCGCCAGGTCTGGGAGTTCGACGCCGCCGCCGACGACCCCGACGCCCTCGCCGCCGTCGACGCCGCGCGCCGGGAGTTCGCCGCCCGCCGCCACCAGCTCAAGCACAGCGCCGACCTCCCCATGCGCATCCAGGTGACCCGACGAACCGAATGCCCCCTCCCGCCCCTCCCCCTCCCCCTCGGTCGCCGCTGCCCTGCATGCCACGGTTTCGAATTCCGGGTGGCTCCGTGACGGCGAAGCCCCACACCTTTTTTTTTCTACCGTAACTACATTTTTTCACCTGGATGAGGCCGTCAGGCCGCCCGAAATTTCCGGCGACTAGTCGTCGCGTACTGCTCAATCAAGGCAGCAGCGAGCCGCCTCACCCTTCAAAACGAGTTTAATGCGCAGCGAGAGTACAGTATAATAGTATAATGCTCCAACCTTTCTAAGGAAAGGAAGATTGCAGCATCAGACTGTCAAGTCTCTCCCACACCACTTGGCAAAGAGTTTTAATGCGCAGCGAGTATGCTGAGATCCGATCTTGCATACGTATATACTACCATGAATATCTGAGACGCAAGCGCCACGCTCTGGATGGGCACGGGCACGGCCCCCCCTTTCCCGTTGCCAACTGCTCCCACTTCAGCCTTTAATGCCCGCCAGAAGCGCATACAGTGCACGCAATCGGCAAGTGTGCTGGCTGACGGTGGGCACTTGGTTCTCTGAACGGGACGCATGACGCCTGCAGTTCTTTCTTTCCGTTAATATAAAGTTATAAACCATGGAATTTCGAGGCGTATTACAGCTGTGTTTTTATCAAGCAACCCCAAAGAGCAAGCGAGGAGAGTTTATCCTGTAGCAGACTCGATTTAAGCAATGCAGTGCAACAGCTGAACGGTAGCTATCGCCATTTATAACAGCATTTGGGGTCAGAAGGTCTACGATGTTGACTGATAACATGCTTGTGTTGCGTGCGTTAAAGGAAGGACACGGTATCACTGTTATCTCCACTAGAGTCATTTCCCTTACCTTCAGGTTAAAAGGTTTTAGCCCAATTACCTTACCACAGAGATGGTTAATACTTTTTGGGACTGGGTTAAGACCAGAAGCACAGTTTATAGAGCTCTAACAGTATTTAGCAACAGGGCAGACCAATTCTTGATGCTGGAATAGTGATATTTTCCTGAGTCTTTTCCTTTTTGTTCTACCACTTCAGTTCAACTTGCCTGTGGATTCTTTGTACTACTAAAACTAGGTTTTTCGCTTTGGAGTAGCGTTCTCCATAGCTTCTGAAGTGTTTGTGCTCTTGTATGTACTGCAGCTTGCAAAAGAAAATCCACTTAAGTTGGATCTTCCTGCTATCAAGCTGGGGGAGAATGAAGATGTCACAGAGGAAGCCGTGTCGACCACTTTGAAAAGGGCGCTCAGCACCTTTTCTACTCTCCAGGCACACGATGGATACTGGCCTGGGGATTATGGGGGTCCTATGTTCCTTATGCCTGGATTGGTACTTCCCCTGGCTTGACATTTTCATTTAAAACTTGTTTATGTCATATGGAAACTTACTCACTGCATTTTATCTTCTATTCAGCTTATAATGCTACATGTTACTGGAGCAATGAACACTGTTTTATCACCAGAACATCAAAAGGAGATCCGTCGATATCTCTATAATCATCAGGCAAGGATCTATTTGCCAACTGTGCCATCTCACAGTGGATAAAGTAAATAATTTTTTGGCAATTGTCTGTAGAATGAAGATGGAGGTTGGGGATTACACATTGAGGGTCCAAGCACCATGTTTGGCTCAGCCTTGACCTATGTTTCTTTGAGATTGCTTGGTGAGGGACCAGATAGTGGAGATGGAGCTATGGAGAAAGGTCGAAACTGGATTTTAGACCATGGGGGAGCAACTTATATAACATCATGGGGAAAGTTTTGGCTCGCGGTATGGAATTAACACTTTTTACTCTGTATGAAGGCTGCTTCCATTTTGCACAATCTGACTATGGCCTAAGGAATTCCTCCTAATTCCCTGATTTATTTAAGGTACTTGGTGTATTTGATTGGTCTGGTAACAATCCACTGCCACCGGAAATATGGATGTTGCCGTATTGCCTGCCAGTCCACCCAGGTTCTTTTTTGCACTATGTCAGCATTAATTGCTTTGATCTTCCATGTTGGTTATGTCTTGCTGATATGCCTGACGCTATCGTGCAGGTCGAATGTGGTGTCACTGCCGAATGGTGTATCTACCCATGTGCTACGTTTATGGAAAGAGGTTTGTCGGCCGAATTACACCAATTATATTGGAACTAAGAAATGAACTATTCAAAGTCCCCTACAGCGAGGTTGATTGGGACAGTGCTCGCAATCTCTGTGCTAAGGTTTGCTTATCTCAATCTTTCTTAGTGATGTTGATGTGTGCGAGCTAAATTTCTTATGGGCCGTGATGAGCCAGAGTTAATGGAAAAATCCTAAGTAGATCTACTTGTGCCAATGTGGTCCTCACTCTAGGAAAGAGCCTTTAAGATGACCCATAGCCAAGGTACAAAGTCTTTAAGAAACCTCATTGCCAAAGTACAAGGTCTTTAAGAACTCCCATTGCCAACATAATGAGTTGGCATAGCCATTTCGATTTCAATACCAGTGTGGGCCATGAATGTGAAATACAGTTTCAGAAATATTCGTTGTACCACTGAATAGTTTACTAGTCCTTGGTTCGGAGGCTTTGATATAAGCAGCCTACAAACTTGATGGGGATTGCCTTGTATTCCCAGATTTTCATGCTTGTAAGTTGCTATCGTACACTACCTGATGGGGATTGCCTTGTATTCCCAGATTTTCATGCTTGTAAGTTGCTATCGTACACTACCTGGTGCAGGAGAAAGACTGATTGCGGTGCATCTTCCATGTGAATGTGGTCAAAGCGTTTTGTTGTGCTAGTTATAACTCATGATTCAATAGGTGATAACATCTGAAAACACAATAGATTGGGATACCATAGCCGCATGAAGAGCATGGTTCCCTCTCTTTCGTGCTTGCTTCATAATTGCAGACTCAATTAACATAATTATCTTAATGTAGCTGGCTCTTTGTGGTATTTGAATATTCTTCAAGAATTCTGGTGCATTTTGCCGTTATTGCTTGTGTAAACATAGTAGCGAAATAATCCCTCTGTGTTACATAAGATAGTAAGTATTGTATAATAGTCCGGTTTTCCGTGATTTTTTTCCCATTCCTCTTTACAAATAGCCTATATGGGTTCACAATCAATAACATCTTCACCATTGAGAGTATTCCCTTTTCCTTCAAAGAATAGATTATAGATTACTGGTCTTAGCGGAAGGGAAGTAATTATAGATTTATAGTTAATCTTTGAAATTTATAGAAGCCTAAGCTGCCCTATTTATCTTTCTTTATCTGCATGATGTCTATTTAGGATCTAATGATTAAGATTGTTCTTTGAAGGTTTTTTCTTGTGCTTTATTGTAGGAAGATCTGTACTACCCACATCCACTCATACAAGATATCTTATGGGCCACTCTCCATAAATTTGTCGAACCTGTTATGATGCACTGGCCTGGGAACAAACTGAGAGAGAAATCTTTGAACCATGTCATGCAGCATGTTCATTATGAAGATGAGAACACTCGATACATTTGCATTGGTCCTGTGAACAAGGTAATTTGAAGAATATGCTTGCCTGCTGATCCGCCTTTTGTCTTTTTCTTGCTTCAAGCATCAGGATGATCCTTTCGTCTTGTAAGATGGAAACATAATAACTGCAGTGCTTTATTTCATGCATGCCTCTTTAAACTTTCTGGTTTTGCTGGCCTGATTGTCCAGCCACTGTACCGTAGCATTTCCTGTGCCCAAATCGCATGTGAGAACTAAAGATATTTCTCTCTACAGCCTTGTAATTGACCACAATTGCAGCAGCAAGTTCACCTATTGTTACTTCATGTAATACCATATGCCACGATTATATATTGCGGGTTTGCCCTTTGGTTTTAAAACATGTACACTTCTATGTCACAAGGGCTGAAGGACTTGTGGACAGTATCCTCTAATACCAAGCTAGTGTCCCCTAATGCAAACCATAGTGTTCAGTAATGCTAAACCATAATCCTCTGTAAAGCACACAAAAGTTACAAACAAGCATTATTTGAATAGTTTGTGAAGCTTTACAGGGGTTTATTTCATTTCTGCTCCAATTCATAATATTTTTAAATCGGAAATTGTTCTTAGTGCCTTAATATATATGACGATTTCTTTAGTTTGGGACATATGTTCATTTTGTTCACTTCTCCCTATCTTGCTGATTTAGTGGAGAAAGAATCCTCATATTCTATGATTTCTTGTTCAAAGCTTGTGAACTTACATACCAGGAGTTTAAACCTTAATAATGTCTAGATAAGTTTAATATATTCTAAAAAAATTCATACTGTTCAACTGATTATTGAATAAATTTATGTGCAGGTATTAAATATGCTTGCTTGCTGGATTGAAGATCCAAACTCAGAAGCATTCAAGCTACACATTCCAAGAATATATGATTACTTATGGGTTGCTGAAGATGGCATGAAGATGCAGGTAATGAGTTTTTATTTACTTCATTCATTTACTTTTCACCAAGGCAGCTGCTACGATAAGAGACAGCTACTCCCTCCGTCCGGAATTACTTGTCTCGGAAATAGATAAAAGTTATTGTATCTAGAACTAAAATATGTCTACATACATCCATTTCTTCGACAAGTATTTCCGGACGGAGGGAGTATTTGTCTATGTCTTACTGTCTTTACATGGAACTGGAAAGTTGATTTTTTGTACTCGGTTAGTAACCGGAATTCCTGCTTATACCAGTCCATCATTAGCTTTTCTTTCTCTTTGATCATAATCGATCCAATTTCTGTCCACTGTAGGGTTATAATGGCAGCCAGCTCTGGGATACAGCTTTTGCAGTTCAAGCTATTGCAGCCACTGACCTCATTGAAGAGTTTGCTCCCACTCTTAAGCTGGCACATGATTACATTAAGAACTCTCAGGTACATGTCACATGGCTATTTGTTTACCAGTCAACACTTGAAGTGCATTACTTAACAAAAAAGAAACGTTTAAGTACATTTCAGTACATAGTACAAAAAAGTAACGTTTAAGTACATTTCAGTACTTAATACTTACATTTCAGTACTTAGTACTTACCTGTTGCTATTATATGGAAGGTTGTTGATGACTGCCCTGGAGATCTGAGTTACTGGTACCGTCACATATCTAAAGGTGCATGGCCCTTTTCTACAGCTGATCATGGTTGGCCTATATCAGATTGCACTGCAGAAGGACTAAAGGTGAGTTAGGCCGTCAGTGTTACCAACAAGGAGCTACCTTCGAAGTTAAAACTTTGTCCTGTTTGAAATCTAGGAATTTTTATTCTTGCAACATACGGAATAAGAATCATTCTGACTCTCATATGTATAAGATTTGGTTTTTAGCTGCTGGTATGTTGTGTCAACTGCCAAGTTCTCGTATGCATAACCATTTGTTTTAAATAGTTTAATTGTTGAATTTTCTTTTACCTTCAGGCCTCATTATTGCTATCAAAGATTTCTCCAGAAATTGTGGGCGAACCAGTGGAAGTTAACAGACTATATGATGCTGTCAATTGTTTGATGTCTTGGATGGTAAATGCATTCAAACTTTTAGATTGTGTTAGTTGTAACTATTGTATCAGTTTGCTAGAAGAGGGTCGATATATCTCTCTCATGTCATGTGACCACTCAGTCTAGGAGTTGTGAATTGTTACTTTTTTATATATCTATATCTATGCAAATATGAAAAGTATGAGTTAGAGTTTGATCCAAACAATCTTTAGCCATTCTTAATATTTATGATCTTCATCTCACAGATCCAAGGGTTGAGAATTTTACTTGGAACCTTACCCCTTATTCTCTCCTCTAATAATGGTCTATTTGATCGATAGTTCATAAATAATAATGGATTGTCTATTTTAGTTGTACGTTTGTAGCTTACCGTTTAGTGTATGGTTAGTGCTTAGCCTTTCTTCCTTTGAGTAATGTACATGGTGAAAAGTAATTTCAATACTGTACACTTACATTATAAATTTGGGTTTCTACATATATGGATATATTTTATTCTATGCAATATATATGGCAAGAAATTCCCTGCAGCAGACTAAGGCATAGCCTAGTGGTGGGGAGGGGTTGATGCCTTCCCACACACCCAGGTTCAAGGCATGGTACTTGCAATTTGGGTTTGTTGCACCAATTATACTGTAGGGGGTTCCCTTACAGTCTTTCTATAAAAAAAGGGCAGCCCCAGTGCATGTAGCTCCCACTTGCGCAGGGTCTGGGGAAGGGTCCGACCACTTTGGGTCTATTGTACGCAGCCTTTCCCTACATTTCTGTAAGAGGCTGTTTCCAGGACTTGAACCCGTGACCATGACCCGTGACCTCATGGTCACAAGGCAGCAGCTTTACCACTGCGCCAAGGCTTCTATCAAAAAAAAAAAGAAATTCCCTGCAGAATTATTATGCAAGGGTAAGGCTGTCTAGAAATTCCCTTCCCCACTTCCCACCTTTTGTGGGAGCTTTCAGCACTGGGTACGCCCTATTTTTGTAATACTATATATGGCGAGAAATGTGCATTGCATGTGGATGGTTGCTAGTATATACTATAAAGCATCAGATAGGTTTTGTCATATAGGATAATTCTATCTGCAAGTGCTTTTTTTCTATCAGTACATTACTGTGAAATGGTAAACTTTTGATATTTTACAAAGCTGCAGTTTGGTTATATCGCACAAGGTATTTTATCTGCAAGTGCTTTCGGCCTTCAGGATAAGTACGGCTAAGCTGTTGATTAATATCGAGTAGTATTTCTATCTTCTGCTAAATTGCACAGATCATAAGGCAACACTGTATTAGTGAAGTGGTGTTATTTACTGAACACCAGGGCTCTCCCTTGCTGTATTCACTTCAAAACCAAAGTGGAGCAGTGGATTAATGGATACTGTGTAGTTGCAAATCGGACTTTGCTTTGAAAATCTTGGTTGCCCTGGTTGCTCCACCAGATTATTGCCCCAGGGATAACATATACAAAACTGTTGAAGAAACCTGTATTTCAAAGTCTCCAAAGTTTTGTTCCCAGCAGTTCTCTTCTATGTATTTTTTTGCATTATATGTAAAGCATTATTTTGAGACGTGCCATTTTAACAAATTTGTTTTAATCTTTACAGAATGAAAATGGCGGCTTCGCAACATATGAACTCCAAAGGTCTTATGCCTGGCTTGAGGTATGTACCTGCCTCATTTGTTTGTTGTTGTGCTACCATTACAACTAGGAGGTTGCTCTTAAGTTGTGTGCGTCATGAAGTAATTCCCTAATTTGAATCATTAAATATCAAGTCAAAGAGGACATGTACATCCATTAAACAATTCATACTGAATTAATACAGGTTTACTGGACCGATGTTTCCTTCGTTTGAAAACTACAACCAATCATTAGTCATATAATCTTTCTTATTGATTTACGAAAATTCTTCCATCTGATTGTTTGTTAAACTGTTCAGCTTATCAACCCTGCCGAGACCTTCGGAGATATTGTGATTGATTACCCGTAAGATGCAATAATATTTCAATTGTCAATTTTTATGCCGCTTGCCATAGAGAGACAAACTGAAAAAAATGTAAATACTCAATTGGTGTCAGGTATGTGGAATGTACATCAGCCGCAATTCAGGCCCTGACATCATTTAAAAAGCTCTATCCTGGGCACCGCAGGAAAGATGTAGATAACTGTATCAACAAAGCTGCTAATTACATTGAGAACATCCAAAGAAGTGATGGGTCATGGTAAATTTTCAGACTCCATGTAGAAGAATACAAGTAATACATGCATATAACACTGCGTTGTTCTATATCTGTTTTCCTACAGGTATGGCTCTTGGGCTGTGTGCTTCACCTATGGCACATGGTTCGGCGTGAAGGGCCTAGTAGCTGCAGGTCGAACATATAAGACCAGTCCTGCAATCAGAAAGGCATGTGACTTTCTGTTGTCAAAAGAGCTTCCTTTCGGTGGCTGGGGAGAAAGCTATCTGTCATCTCAGGATCAGGTAGATACATTTCTACCTAGTTTTGAATATACTTGCAATCTTGTTTACTGGAATAGCGGATTGCATCTCTATATTCCAATCTTCATCGTCAGTGTGCTGTGATAAATATTGTATGCCAGTCTATTAGAATTAATGTTAATATTGTTACATCTGAGTCAAAGTAATGGACGTCAACTTGATATAAAACTCTCCTTTTCATCTAAAGAGTCATTTGCTCTTTTTCCTGCTTTCACCGTTCACAACTGCATGCCCTGTAAAGCATGGTATTCTTGCATCTTGATCTTTAGATGCACATCGTCTTCCTGGGGACCATAAGAAATTTTTACTAACCAATAATCATGTTTTGACTTCCATTCAATTAGGTTTACACCAATCTTGAAGGGAAGCATACTCATGCTGTCAACACTGGCTGGGCCATGCTGACTCTAATTGATGCAGGACAGGTGTGTTTACAGTTACCTGTGGATTGTGGTAGTACCATATGATGTCTTCATTCACGACGGTTCTTAAAATCTCGTTTGGGTACAGGCTGAGAGAGATCCAACGCCTCTGCATCGAGCAGCGAAGGTTTTGGTAAACTTACAATCAGAGGATGGGGAATTTCCTCAGCAAGTAAGTCATAAATGCTTTACCACCATCTCATGGTTTCTCAAACAATTTTTCTCTAGATCCAAAGGAAAACATTTTAGTAATAAACACAGCTGTGCATGTGAAGGCAGTTCAAACCAGTGCAGCGAAACGTAACTACTATTTGACCAGAGAAAGCCTTTTCTTTTGCAAATCAAGAGCTTTATTACTCAGTTAGGAGGATTACACGGTAGCTGAATACAACCAACTAAGAAAGAGGGCATATAATTAATCCACAAACATTTCCTCTCTTCTGTGGCTTGCTTTGCACACCGGTGGGCTGCTTCATTGGCTTCCCTTTGCACAAACACCAGACCTTAGCTCATAAACCCTCCCAAAAGCTCTTTGATTTCATGGCAAACAGCTGCATCCGCTGCTCTCTCTGAAAATCCAGAGTTGTACATCTTAACCATCTCTTTAGCATCAATTTCAACACATATCCTAGAGTAGCCCATTCTTTGGCTAGTTGAATCTGGTCCTGGATAGTGTATAGCTCCATAGTTTGAGCACCTGATGCAAATCGATACCAGAAGGCTTGCGCTCGAATTAGGTTGCCCTCTGAATCTTGGACCACCATCCCTGTGCTTCCACAGCCTGCCTGCTCAAGAAATGCCACAGCCAGCAAGCTTCCTCCCTGTTACCGCAGGGCAAGTAACTTCACCTGCTGTTGTAAATCAACGGCATTACCAAGTGCCCACCGAACAGAAGCTTGAACTGATCGGCCCTTCTCGCCGTGAGTACGAGCATTCCTTTCAGACCAAACCTCCCAGCAGCCACACAATACAATGCATACAAATTGGTCTGATCCCAGTTTTCTTCAGGCACGATGTAGCACTGGGATTTTTATATGCATCATGGTCTTCATCTCCTTCCAGAAGAGTCTCGCCCAAGTGCATTCGAACAGAGCATGGGTTATAGTTTCCTCCTTGCAACATAGGTCGCAGAATGGGATTTTTTCTATGTGTCTGGTGAGCAGAACAGATTAACATGGCACAAATCCTCTTATAACTCTCCACCAAAAATTCCTGACTCTTGGTGGTACCGGCAGTTTCCATAGTTTGTTCCAGAAGACATTTCCTGTCGTGCCTGAAGAAGACGGTTCATAGGAATGTGTCATACTTGTGCTCAGAATTTTATACACCGACCGAACAGAAAAATTAGCATTCCTCACCAACACCCAGGCCCAACAATCTTCACCCTAGTTACCTATTGGTGTTTTAGCAATAGCCTGAACATAAGGTGCTGCAAAGTTTGCTTCCAAGACATTAAGATCCAAACTATTATTCTCAAGATCAATAAGCTCCTCCACCTTAGTGACTGTATCCCCTGGTAACTGAATAATTGGACGATAGCCATAGAGGGTATCCAAGGGTCCTCCCATATGTTAACACTAGCACCATCCCCCACACGTTTAATCAGCCCTAGTTTCAGGGATTCTCAAGATCAAGGGTCCTCCAAGTATGAGAGGAGTTCCTCTTTTTTGTTGCTGCCAAGAAATCTGAATCATGATAATATCGGCCTTTGAGCACCTTTGCACAAAGCGAGTCAGGGTCAGTCTAGCCTCCACCCTTGTTTAGCCAACATGGCTTGATTAACTAGACCAAAATCTCTAAGGATGTGTTTGGTTTGAGGGATAGACTAGGGTGGTTGTGGGTATCCCCAACCAGCTGGTTAGGGATAGCCCTTGTTTTTGTTTGGTTGGGTGGTTGAGGATAGCCATTGAAGTGTTTGGTTCAAGGGATGAATAATAAGGGTTGTGATGATATTTTTGCTTGACGTGATGAGATTAGCCCATAATCTGCATTTTTGATTGAGCACCAACGCACGGCCACCATACATCAAGCACGCCTCGGTGCATACAGCAGCAGAAAATACAGTAGCAGCAAAACTACAAAAGCGCAAAACACACGATGGCAAACTGAAGATAGAAATACTGATTCATCGTCTCATGCATCCACCAGCGGACAGCCCCATGCCCGCAGCCGCCGGCCCACCGTCAATCACCGGCCGCGCGTCTCCTCAGGCCCCAGCTCCTCGAGATCTAGCCGCGCCGCCGCCTGGCTCGTCGAGATCCAGCCGCCGGCCATCTCGAGATCCAACCGTGCCGCCGTCGCAAACCCCGTCCTGCATCTCCCGTGTGCACCCTCCGCAACAGCCGGCCTCTCTGCTAGATGCGACGCCGCTGCGCCGCCATTGCCACCATGCACGAGTGAGAGAGACGAGCCCGGTAATGGGTGTTCGGGAGGGGGTGAGGACGAGTCAATAGCAAAAAAAAAACGTTTCGCGAGTGCGCGCGGGGGTGGTTGCCGCGACCCACCGCTTTTTCGCGGGTGTCCCCAGCCCCGTTTTTCGGGAATATTCGAAGCATCTGGCTGCCTTTATCCCTCTTTGCCTCAGATCCAAACGAGTGGCAACCACTGTAAAAAGGGGCTATCCCTGTCCGTGGGAGGATAGCCTTGCAACCAAACGCATCCTAAAGCCCAATTCCCCCCTCACATTTTGGGATACCTATGTCCTGCCACTTTTTCCAATGCATTTCCTTTTTCTTTTCATCACATCCCCACCAGAATCTTGCAACAATACTTGTGACCTTTTTGCATGTCTTTTTGGACAGTCTAAAACATGTCGTTGAATAGATAGGAATTGCTTGTCTTTTTGCATGATATTTGATACAGTACTAGGGAAGCTCAAGTTTTATATACTTATATCATCTAAATTTGTTTTTTGCCGCATTTAACAGGAGATCATGGGAGTCTTCAACAAGAACTGTATGATCAGTTACTCCCAGTACAGGAACATCTTCCCCATTTGGGCGCTAGGCGAGTACCGGTGCCGAGTGCTGGGCGCGGGCAAGAAGTAGTACCATCTTCCGTCTCTTTGGCTGGGTTACGTGGTGGAACAGTGTGTTTCTGTAATAATGTAGCTAGGTGCAGGTGGAGATCTGGTAGCCGTATAGATTTTTTTTTACCATTTGATGAGTAGACGAATAAAATGGATTGTACATCTGAATATGGGGATACGCTACCGCATGTTGGAGAGGTGTATATATCTCGCTTGTAGGACCTGTTTGGTTGGATACCTGAACACCGTGCCTGGAGAAATGGACTGCCTGGATTGAGCCCGAGAAGATTGAAAATATTGCCTGGCGAGGCTACGTGTGTTTGGTTGATGTCCTCGGACTGATGATGTGCGTCCGCTGTGCGTCAGAGTACTTAAATCATTTAGGGGTGTTTTGATGCCTGGGTCACATTTGGCTGCATCGCATCTAGCATGCTGGCTGAGTGTGGCCTGGCTGGGCTAATGCAATGGTAGACTGAGGTATGTGTTTGGTTGCTTTTGTGTTGTGGGACTGGCCAGATAGAATATGTGTTTGGTAGGTTGTATGAGACGTCACGTTCTGAGTGAGATGTTCACAAGGATGTTTACAGGGGATCTCTGTCTGGAGATCGCCACAGTAGAACGAACTATGGACACAACGGATTTGTCAGGCTGCTGCTGTAGGAATAAGGAATAGGAAGCATGGGCAGGCTAAGTACCTTGTGGGTGCGAAAGTCCCTTTCTACTCCCAAATTCATATCATATGAGCTTGGGATGAACAGTAAATCTGAAAAATGATTTTTTTTCCAGAAAGTTCTGAACTTTTTTGGGTGCAAACTCTGACAAATGTTCTCCGTGCTTGAAAATTTTCATCTTGAAACAACATTTGTGGAAGTCATGGCAAAAGAAACAAAATCAGCACTCCAAAATTGCTTTTGAATATATCATTTTTGGAGCATCGGTTTTGTTTTTTTTACCACAACTTGAAATGCCATTTTATGATAATTTTTTGCAAGCACACAAAATATTTTTGAAAATTTGTACCCAATAAATTTCCGATTATACTGTTCATTAGATAGCATTTGAGCCCGGGAGTACATACTACGCGTCCCTGCCGGTGCCCCTATTCAGCGACCTGCACGTTGGATACTCAGCGAATGCGCGCTCCCCTACCTCCTACTCAGTGCTCGATCTGGGCCAGCCCATGTGCGCACGCGCCCCTGTACTTTTATCTCAAATTTTAAAAAAGATCGGGATTTTCAAAAAAGTTATTACTTTTAAAAATTGTTCATGAATTCAAAAAATGTTTGGAATTCCATAAAATATTCATAAATCCGAAAATTGTCCATGATTTTTTTAAAAAGTTCACAAATTTCAAAATTGTTCCCAAACAAATATATAAAAAAATTACTGATTCAAAAAATATCCGCTGATTCAAAAAAAATTTTAATGGATTCAAAAAATGTTTGTGAAAACAAAAAACCAATATTTTTGAATTTCAAATATTGTTCTAAAATTTCCAAAAATGTTCAGGGATTCAAAAAATAGCGAATTGTAAAAAATATTCATGATTCCATAAATTGTTCATGATTTTGTAAAAAATGTCCAGGAATTCGATAAATGTTCATAATTTCAAAAAGAGTTTCTGATTTCAAAAAGTGTTCATGTTTTCAAAAAATTCTCACGATTTGTTTTATATAAACATTACCTAAGTTTAACCTTTGTTTTTGCAGAAGACCTAAGTTTAACTCAAGACAGAGGTAATATTCAGAGTAAATAAAAACGAATGAAGTACACGATTAAATATTGTCCTTGACAAATCTAGTAGTAGTGTTTTTTTCGGGTTAAATCTAGTAGCGTTAGTAGAACCTTAATTTGCTCTCCGTTCATTGAGAGTGCAACTTTTACATGGCAGACAGCATGGCGCAGCGGTTTGTTTTTCATGTAATTAATTGTGAAGTATATCTCCATAAAGCAAGTATGATAGGGTGATATAGACTGCCTATAAGACATGTCAAATTCGATTTTTGTACGATGGTACAAATGAAACGGGAGAATGTTGCATCAATTTCCAATCAACACTGCATATGTTGAGTTGTAATGACTAATTATTGTACAAATGGATTATTAAGTTGGCTACGTCTTATGATTGACACGGCAATTTCATATAGTCGGCTGCGCAATTAATTATCAACTTGCAGTACAAAACCTGGCGAATATTCCGACTGTCCAATCAATTAAATTGCCCTCAAACTTTTCTCCTTGCATGCATGCACATGCACCCACTCATTAATTTATGAGTACTGCGTGTCGCTTCTTTCAGTGCCATTATCGACCCGTTGCGTCGCAAGTTGATCAACTTGATTTCGCGCCCTCACTCACACGCCGCTCAAAGACAAACGCAACGCATCCCTGGGACACAGGACGACCAATTCATTAGTTGACACCGTCGCTGATCAAATTCATGGCATGCAGAAATCTGTGGAGTGTACTACGCAACGGGAAACTTTTGTCACGAGGAACGTCTTTTTTTACATTAAAACCCTCCCCTCTTTAATGAATAAATAGTAAGGGCATCTCCAACACCCTTACCCTTAAACCGCCCGTATATATCCGGACTACGTAGTCCAGTGTTTTGTCATTCAACACAGGTTTGTATCGGTCCGTCGATCGGTCCTGACGCATATTTTATCCAAAAATAGAAGCATTTAGGGGTGGGGGGTTGCGGTAGTCCGGACAGGAGCCGCGTAGGATTCCGACACCCCCGGCTCACTAAATCTCCCCTCCCGGTCCTTCTATCTTTCAATCCGTCCCTTCTCCCCCGTGCTTTGCATCCGCACCCTCCTTCTTCGCCGCTGCCGCTGTACCTCTCCGTCCGCCACACAGACATTGCTGGACCTCCACAACCAGCACCGGCGCACCCGCTCGCCTTTTACGATAGTGCCGTCCACCCTGGACTCGTCCGTAGCCAGGTACACTCCGCCCCTGCCAACGACGTCCATGGCGGACCCCATGCCCGGTAGGTGTTCGCTCAAATGCAGTTGAGTTTTTTTTTTCAAATGCCATGTTGTTTTCTAGAGTATGAAGGATGGCGGGGTACTCGATCATAAAGGATGAGTTGTTGTGCGATGCGTGGTTGGCTGTATTAGTGGACTGCGTAGGCAAGAGCAGAAGGGGGCTATTCTGGGAGTGCGTGCATGATTCATTTCGTGCACAAAAGCACACTGCACCCTATGAGATGCACATCATCCAACAACGCAACGTGAAGTCGTTATCGTATCGATGGTATGCCATCCAGACACCATCACCAAGTTTGTGATGCAGTTGTTTGGCTGAAGGCAAGGTGGCCATTGCGCGCGGCAGCGGAGGAGATCATGAGTTTTTCTTCTTCTCGCTCAACTTTTTGATTGAATCATTCATTCACTCAATGTTGCTCTACACATTGCGTAGCTCGTACACGCTGTCGCGATGTACCACAGGATGGAGGGACGGCCATTTACGTACATACACTATTGAATGTAGCCGGAAGGGCAGTATGTGTGGGACAACATGACCCGTTCATGAAAAACTTATTGAACATCGAGTTAATCTCCTTGAATTTGAACTATTGTTTTACTAGGCTTATTTACATGCTATGTATGCACAATTTGTGCTATTTTCTATCTAAATTTTGATGAATTCCGTCGAGTTTGATGAATTTTTTCCGGTTTGCTAAAACCTGACATGAAATGTATGCGGATAACGTTGGATAGCCGGCTCCCGCATCCGTATCCGTGGACTGGTCCCATCTGCCCACAGACGGATGCGCAAGGGAATTTGTAGATCAACTTTGGATATTCCTTAATAGTTGTTACATAATGACCAGATATGAAATAGAAGCACCCCTATGATTTCCGAAAGTTATTTTAAGGATTTTTTAATTAAACCCCATCTAGCATATCCCCTAAAAAGTTTAGTGTCTCACAAAAATTACTTTTGAACTCCTAAACTTTCGAATATGGCTATTCCTAACTGCTTGCGTGCGCAACGCGAATCGTTGCCGTCGCTGTTGCATGTGGATCAGCGCGAGCCTGCCCCGACATAGCCCACCGGAATAAAGCGTTTCCAGTTTTGCTAATGCTATACGGAATGAATACAGTCAAATCGTATGTAGCGACCTATACCTACGCCCACAATTAGCTCGTACTTGCCTGCGGGGCCTGTCCCATATACCCTGTGACCCATCCGCCTGACCTGGACACAATTCAAAATTTGAATCCAATCGTGCAGACGCACCAGCATCGCCGAGAACCACCACGCTTCCCGTCCCCGCGCGACCACGCCCGGATCTACAGGTTTCTTAACGATTGACCAATGAATCTTGGTGCGGAGTCATTCACAGATCCCCTGTTCAGGTTTCTCCTCTCATAAGCTACTCTTTTTCTTTCATCGTCTTCTCCGTCAAATCCTTCAATCTCAATCTTGGCGTGTCCATGAGCAGCTTCTGTTCCCAGCCAACTTCCCCTGAGGACGCCCCAGATCTGGGATAGCTAGAGAAGGAGGACGACGGCTGGTGCATTCCTCCGGATTTCAGCGATTCTCCTTCCTCAAGCCAAGATGGAGAGGAATCCAAATCCTTCACTAGACGTTACGCCCCATATAATCATTAATGTGCACTTTATATCCTCGATTGCAGTCCTCTTATGGCCGACCGCGAAGAACTTTAGAGATAGCAGCAACATGTACCCGAAGGTGGCCTCTTGCACTCAACCAAGAAGAGGTTTAATGTTATATATCGGTCGGTAAGTTTTTCCATTGGAGATCTTGGGAAACCAACGCCTTAATTATTGTGATATTGTCATCACTAGACACTACATCCAATATAACCATCGATGCGCACTTTATATCCTCGGTCCCAGTCCTCTTATGGTCGACCGCAAAGGACTTTAAAGATAGTAGCCATAGGCGGGTCTGTTGCATTCAACCATGAAGAACTTTAATGTTGTATATCGATTGGTATGTTTTTTCGTTCGGAATCTTTGGAAAACCAACCTCGCAATTAAT